GGCGGCTCGAGCGGGCCCCGCTCTGCCAGAGCGAGCGGAGGGGCGCCCTGAGTCGGGAAGGCGCAGCAAGCGGCAGAGGTCTCCACCCCGCGGTCCTGGGTTCTGCCCGCAGCCCCACTGATGCCCCACCCCGGAGCTCGGGCCCGCCGAGCCATCCCCCCGGCCGGGGGCGTAGGCGGATCCGCTGCCTACCGCCCAGCGCGGCCGGCGGCCCATACAACGAATTTGGGGAGTAGGGGTCCCCGAGGCCCTGCGGACGGCCCTGGGCAGCTGATGCCCCCCTTCGCGCCGCAGCAGCGGTGCCAGGCAAGACGCACGGGTGCCGAGGCCGCCGGGGGGGCGGACGGGCGAGGGGGAGGCCAAGGAACTGGGGCCGGGGAGCGTGGGCTCCTGGGTGCCTCCGCGGAGAGGTTGCGAGACGTTGGCCTGTGGCTTTAAGGAGCCCTAAGCCCGCCTAGGAGCTCGGGACGCGTGATGGGAACCCTCCTCCCAGAGTTTTTCTTGGGATGCACTGAGTGGAGAGCAGCGGCTAGGGAAGGGGAGATCTTTCGCTTAGAAGAGCAAAAACGGTTTCAGACTTCAGGTCGAGATAGGATTTCTTGCTGTATCGAAACAGCTGGGGACATCTGGAGCCCGTCCAAGAAAACCCACGCAGCTGATCGAGACCCCCTTCTGAAATGCGGAGGGAGACTGACGCTCCTGGGGCGCGCAAACGGCCTTTTTCGTTAGAGACTGGAGTCTAACTCACCCTTTCTCCGGATACCCTACTCTGTCGCCACCTCCCCCCAGTCCCCTGTTACATATTCTAGGACGACTGTGCACCAGAAGGTCGCTTCAGCCCGCCGATGCGGAGGAACAATCGCTGTATGCGCTCTGCCTCCGAGAGGCGAAGAGAAAGGGGATTTCTTCCCAAAGCTATTGGGCGGGGAAGAAAGACTGCTGTGAATTACTGGGCAGTATCCTCTAGGAAAGGATTGAAGCGGATGTGGATACCCGCCCAACGGGCTCCTCTATCTTTCTGAAAAGAACGTGGGTAGTTGGGAGCCATTCAAGGGGATGTTTGTCTTCTAGACAGGCAGTCCTGCTGATAGGTTTCATTACTCTCTGGAAAGCTAGTGTGATTTAGAGATTTGAGATGATTAAGAGAACCTGACCTTCATCAAGCCTGGCTTTCTGACTGATGCTCCACAGATTTTACCATGGGTGGGTGAAATAGCGCCCTCTCACTGATCCTCGCTCATCTCGGCTCTCTATCCCTCCAGTAATGCAACTAGCAGTTAACATTTGCTGCTTAGTTTTGTGGGTGAGGGCACCCCTTCTCAGAATCTCCCATATCCCTCGCTTGAGTACTTTAAACTCCGTACTTTAGAAAGCTTGACTTCTCCCCTCAAAAAAAAAAAAAAAAGAAAAAGAAAAAACCTCTGGGAATTTCCACAACTTCTCTTGAACATTTAAAGAATTTCTAAATGTTAGACCTGTTTGCATGGCATGAAAGGACAGACAAAGAATCAGCACTCAGAAACGTCAACCTTAATGCAATCTTTAGATCTGAAGATGGAAAATCTGTAAAAAGTAAATCACAAATAAGCCATTTAATACTTGCCAGTTGTTTAACATTAAAATGATAATATTTGCTTCCACAATAAAAATTCAAAGCTACTGAGCCAAGTTTCAAGCTACTAAGGCTTAAAAAACATCAACCCTCCCCCAATAAAAGGTTAAAACAAAAATCAAACAACATATTAAATCATTTATGCTGTAAATAAATTCACTATACTCTCAGAACATTAACAAAGAATGACATCAATAGGCTGCTTTGATTTATGTTGTTTTTTCTACTAATTAAACAAAATTGACCCCCTTCTGCCTCCCACCTTTCTCCCCCCCACACACACTCTTCTCTGGCTTTAACGGCAAAACATCCATCAAATATTTTTAGAATTTTCTCTCCTCTACAAAAAGAAAAAAAAAAAATAGGCACAGGAAAAATAAATAATCTTTAAATACTTGGAGTACTGAAGTTTCCTCTTAATTTATTACTTCACCTTTTCCTTGATTTACAGTCTTCTCTTCTGGCCAAAGGAAGGAGATCTTCTCAGCAGTCTCTTCCAGAAATATTTTTGTGTTTGTTCTTCAGAAAAGTAAAATTAAGTCTTGAATGAAAAACTTCCTGTAAAAAGCCTTTTCTACTACCACCAAAGGCAATTATTAGAAAGCACGTATCTCTTCTAAGCTGCCCTGTTTATTACCTGCGGTAGAAATTCTCCTCAATATATACCCAGGACCCTTGCTGCCTCTTCTGAAAAGGATATTTTCTGACATCATAATCTAGCTACCAATATAACTGAGTAACTTCCATGATAATGCTGGGAACACATGACTGCAAAGGAGACACACTAGGAGGCTCCTTTTTTTTTTTAAGCTTACGAACAGAACTAGTGCCAATAGAGACTTGAAGGTTTGCTTAGGCCTTGCAATCACATAAATGCACCTTAGCAAACAAGAAGATTTGAAGGCCTGCCTTTAATCTGAAGTATTTCCACGTGAAGACAGCTTGGCATTGTGAGATCTACACCTACACGAATGCTTAGCCCATGAGCAAGTCCCAGATTTCCATCTTCCTATCCCCAGTGACAGTATTATATCCCAGTTTTTAAAAGAGGCTCCTAAACGTCTAAATGTACTTTTACACTTAAATTCCTGTTTAAATAACCAGTTGATTTATATTTCCAGGAATGTCTCTTCTTGCAATTTAGAAAAGAAAACTAGTGTTCATGTTTAGCTTTTTCCTCTTTCTCCCTACTTTCCTCTTCAGCCAAAACAACAAGCAAACGAACACATAAACCAAAAGAGAGTGCCTGTAACTCTTTAAACAGTGCACCTGGGCTCAGGGAGTCCTTTCCCTTATTCCCAGTATAAGCATCCAGATTCAGCATTTGCCAATCTGTAGCTCCAAGCTATATCTTTAAAATCCTATGAAACAAAACAATGAAACTAGCCCCTTCTCTTCTCAGCCCTTTTTTTGAGGTTTACATAGAGAAGTTTGAATAATCAGCTCGAGTAACCATTTGATTCCTTTAGAACGTGGCTCCAATCACCTGCCTGGACTGAGACTTAAGAGGGAGCTGTTGCCAGCTGACCTCAAACAAGAACAAAAAACAAACCAAACCCATCGCCTTGGAGTGATTCTGTCCCAAGGCTGTAATCTTTATGGATGCAGATTGCCACATCTTTTTCCCGTGGAGCTAGTGAGTTCAAATCGCTGACCTCTCCGATAGCAGCTGAGCGCTTAACCACTGCGCCACCAGGGCTCAGCTGACCTCAAGGTATCAAAAAAGAAAAGGGAATGTAATGTCTTTAAATCCCAAGTGGGGATAGGAAAGGGTGTGTTTCGTTGTTAAACTATAGTTAGATGAGGATAAGACTCAAGCAGGGCCTTTCTTCTCCGGGAACTGGACTGGCTGCTAATATCTGGAGGAACTGCCTCAGGGAGTAGCGCCTAGATATGCATCTGGACGAAGGGATAGTCCCGTCGAAAAAGTGGGTCTCATGCCCATCCCCTCCCTGCTTCCTTTAGGGCAACTTTTAGCTTTCCCCAGATGGGACCAGAAAGCCCAGAGGCAAGGCAATTTTTCCTGAGAGGCCCGAGCCAACATAAGATAAGGTGGTATTTAGGAAATGGGAGTCTCTAGAGACCAGTTCACAAGGTTCAGTACTTGTGCACTTCCCAAACCCACGTCCATCAAAACACATCAGAGGAAGAATCTTCTTGCCAAGGATGGAGTGTAAGTGTGTGCGATTGTGTAGGAGAGAGAGAGAGAGATTGAGAATGAATGCGTAGGGTCCGAGTCCTGATCTCCTGGACCCGTGCCCTTGGCTGGGCCGAGTCTTGGCTCCCCGACGTAGGCAGCTCTGGACTGGTATGAGACCACAGGGAGAGTTCCCACCTTGGTCAGCCGACAACCCGCGGCCTGAAATCGATCCCGGGTGGTGCTTGCTGGCCGTGGTCCAGCTCCCCTGTGAGCAAAATCGTCTTTTCTCTAATTTTTAGCCTGGGCTGCCTGGTAGATGCTGCCCCGGGAGTCGCTGGGACCTCGGAAGCCATTTATCTTCCTAACACCATTCTGTAACACTGGCCAGCTCGCAGTGCCGCCCTAGGCAGCACCCGGACTAGCATGCCCACCCTCTCAGGCAGAAAGGCATCCAGACACCCACACGTAGACGGGGCGTTGTGTCTACTTCGTTTGGAGCCCGCGATTACAGTGTCTTCGGGTCCTACATGCCCTTCTTGGGATTCTTGGCAGAAATAAAGCTGCAGGAGAGCAAGCGTGGGACTACGCGCTCCTTCTCCGGGGTCTCCCGGCCTCGGGGTTTCGCTACTGACGCCCCAAGATGGGGTGGGAGTGTCCCTTAGGACAGGGGTCCAGGATGTTGGAAAAGGCTTGAGGGCGACTGGACGATCTTTATCAGTCCCCCCGCCACCCCCACCCCAGACAGACTTGGGTCGTGGATTGCAGAGAGGACCCCATTTTCGGACACC